CCACTACACTGTATGAATACTCTGTTACAGTGAAAGTACTAACACTACACTGTATTAATACTCTGTTACAGTGAAAGTACTAACACTACCCTGTATTAATACTCTGTTACAGTGAAAGTACTAACACTACACTGTATTAATACTCTGTTACAGTGAAAGTACTAACACTACACTGTATTAATATTCAGTTACAGTAAAAGTACTAACACTACACTGTATTAATACTCTGTTACAGTAAAAGTACTACCACTACACTGTATTGATATTCAGTTACAGTGAAAGTACTACCACTACACTGTATTAATACTCTGTTACAGTAAAAGTACTAACACTACACTGTATTAATACTCTGTTACAGTAAAAGTACTAACACTACACTGTATTAATACTCTGTTACAGTAAAAGTACTAACACTACACTGTATTAATACTCTGTTACAGTGAAAGTACTAACACTACACTGTATTAATACTCTGTTACAGTAAAAGTACTACCACTACACTGTATTGATATTCAGTTACAGTAAAAGTACTAACACTACACTGTATTAATACTCTGTTACAGTAAAAGTACTAACACTACACTGTATTAATACTCTGTTACAGTGAAAGTACTAACACTACACTGTATTAATACTCTGTTACAGTGAAAGTACTAACACTGCACTGTATTAATACTCTGTTACAGTAAAAGTACTAACACTACACTGTATTAATACTCTGTTACAGTGAAAGTACTAACACTGCACTGTATTAATACTCTGTTACAGAGAAAGTACTAACACTACACTGTATTAATACTCTATTACAGTGAAAGTACTAACACTACACTGTATTAATACTCTGTTACAGTGAAAGTACTAACACTACACTGTATTAATACTCTGTTACAGCGAAAGTACTAACACTACACTGTATTAATACTCTGTTACAGTAAAAGTACTAACACTACACTGTATTACTACTCTGTTACAGTGAAAGTACTAACACTACACTGTATTAATACTCTGTTACAGTGAAAGTACTAACACTGCACTGTATTAATACTCTGTTACAGTGAAAGTACTAACACTACACTGTATTAATACTCTGTTACAGTGAAAGTACTAACACTACACTGTATTAATACTCTGTTACAGTGAAAGTACTAACACTACACTGTATTAATACTCTGTAACAGTGAAAGTACTAACACTACACTATATTAATACTCTGTTACAGTGAACGTACTAACACTACACTGTATTAATATTCAGTTACAGTAAAAGTACTAACACTACACTGTATTAATACTCTGTTACAGTGAAAGTACTAACACTACACTGTATTAATATTCAGTTACAGTAAAAGTACTAACACTACACTGTATTAATATTCAGTTACAGTAAAAGTAGTAACACTACACTGTATTAATACTCTGTTACAGTGAAAGTACTAACACTACACTGTATTAATACTCTGTTACAGTGAAAGTACTAACACTACACTGTATTAATACTCTGTTACAGTGAAAGTACTAACACTACACTGTATTAATACTCTGTTACAGTAAAAGTACTAACACTACACTGTATTAATACTCTGTTACAGTGAAAGTACTAACACTACACTGTATTAATACTCTGTAACAGTAAAAGTACTAACACTACACTGTATTAATATTCAGTTACAGTAAAAGTACTAACACTACATTGTATTAATACTCTGTTACAGTGAAAGTACTAACACTACACTGTATTAATACTCTGTTACAGTGAAAGTACTAACACTACACTGTATTAATATTCAGTTACAGTAAAAGTACTAACACTACACTGTATTAATATTCAGTTACAGTAAAAGTACTAACACTACACTGTATTAATATTCAGTTACAGTAAAAGTACTAACACTACACTGTATTAATACTCAGTTACAGTGAAAGTACTAACACTACACTGTATTAATATTCAGTTACAGTGAAAGTACTAACACTACACTGTATTAATATTCAGTTACAGTAAAAGTACTAACACTACACTGTATTAATACTCTGTTACAGTGAAAGTACTAACACTACACTGTATTAATACTCTGTTACAGTGAAAGTACTAACACTACACTGTATTAATATTCAGTTACAGTAAAAGTACTAACACTACACTGTATTAATATTCAGTTACAGTAAAAGTACTAACACTACACTGTATTAATACTCTGTTACAGTGAAAGTACTAACACAACACTGTATTAATACTCTGTTACAGTGAAAGTACTAACACTACACTGTATTAATACTCTGTTACAGTGAAAGTACTAACACTACACTGTATTAATACTCTATTACAGTGAAAGTACTAACACTACACTGTATTAATACTCTGTTACAGTAAAAGTACTAACACTACACTGTATTAATACTCTGTTACAGTGAAAGTACTAACACTACACTGTATTAATACTCTGTTACAGTGAAAGTACTAACACTACACTGTATTAATACTCTGTTACAGTGAAAGTACTAACACTACACTGTATTAATATTCAGTTACAGTGAAAGTACTAACACTACACTGTATTAATATTCAGTTACAGTAAAAGTACTAACACTACACTGTATTAATACTCTGTTACAGTGAAAGTACTAACACTACACTGTATTAATATTCAGTTACAGTAAAAGTACTAACACTACACTGTATTAATACTATGTTACAGTGAAAGTACTAACACTACACTGTATTAATACTCTGTTACAGTAAAAGTACTAACACTACACTGTATTAATACTCTGTTACAGTGAAAGTACTAACACTACACTGTATTAATACTCTGTTACAGTAAAAGTACTAACACTACACTGTATTAATACTCTGTTACAGTGAAAGTACTAACACTACACTGTATTAATATTCAGTTACAGTAAAAGTACTAACACTACACTGTATTAATATTCAGTTACAGTAAAAGTACTAACACTACACTGTATTAATATTCAGTTACAGTAAAAGTACTACCACTACACTGTATGAATACTCTGTTACAGTGAAAGTACTAACACTACACTGTATTAATATTCAGTTACAGTAAAAGTACTAACACTACACTGTATTAATATTCAGTTACAGTAAAAGTACTAACACTACACTGTATTAATACTCTGTAACAGTAAAAGTACTACCACTACACTGTATGAATACTCTGTTACAGTGAAAGTACTAACACTACACTGTATTAATACTCTGTTACAGTGAAAGTACTAACACTACCCTGTATTAATACTCTGTTACAGTGAAAGTACTAACACTACACTGTATTAATACTCTGTTACAGTGAAAGTACTAACACTACCCTGTATTAATACTCTGTTACAGTAAAAGTACTAACACTACACTGTATTAATACTCTGTTACAGTGAAAGTACTAACACTACACTGTATTAATACTCTGTTACAGTGAAAGTACTAACACTACACTGTATTAATATTCAGTTACAGTAAAAGTACTAACACTACACTGTATTAATACTCTGTTACAGTGAAAGTACTAACACTACACTGTATTAATATTCAGTTACAGTAAAAGTACTAACACTACACTGTATTAATACTCAGTTACAGTAAAAGTACTAACACTACACAGTATTAATATTCAGTTACAGTGAAAGTACTAACACTACACTGTATTAATACTCTGTTACAGTAAAAGTACTAACACTACACTGTATTAATATTCAGTTACAGTAAAAGTACTAACACTACACTGTATTAATACTCTGTTACAGTGAAAGTACTAACACTACACTGTATTAATACTCTGTTACAGTGAAAGTACTAACACTACACTGTATTAATACTCTGTAACAGTAAAAGTACTAACACTACACTGTATTAATACTCTGTTACAGTGAAAGTACTAACACTACACTGTATTAATACTCTGTTACAGTGAAAGTACTAACACTACACTGTATTAATACTCTGTTACAGTACACTGTAAAGGAACTCTGTGACGCGTTGTTTAAAAATCACGGAAGGAGAGGGATGGGTTCAAAAACAAAATAGAGTTTATTCCAAAAAGTCAGCCACTTAGGCAAACAACAGAAAACAAACACAGTCTTCCTTTATTCTGGGAGGTGTTGTAATCGGTCCCTCCTCTTAGGAACCGGCCTATTGCAAGAGGGACCGGAACCAGGTTACCAGAGTGCTCTCATGTAGTGACTTATTACCTGATCCGATCAGCTGTCTGGCCCCCACTCCCATGTCTCCATCAGCCGGCGCACTAACAAGGCTCAAGGTTCAAGGCTTTTATTAGTCATATGTGCACAGCTGGCAATGAGGTCACAGGCTCCTCCAACAGAGCAACACAATAACACAGATCAACAGAAAAAAAATTGTGCAAGTAAATACAAAAGGAAAAATAGTAAAAAAGTGAAATAGTACAAGTGATTGGAATATGATATATTAGATACATCATTCCCAAGTAGCAGCCAGATGAATGTTATGATGTTGTTTCAAAAGTTCATACTGTTTATTACTTTTGAATATGTTGTGTGTCTTTTCCTGACTGTGTGCACGGCAGTAATCTGTTAATTATTAATGGTAGCACTCTGAGGTGTGTGTTGTGTGTGTTGTGTTGTGTAGTGTGTGTTGTGTAGTGTGTGTTGTGTAGTGTGTGTTGTGTTGTGTAGTGTGTGTTGTGTAGTGTGTGTTGTGTAGTGTGTGTTGTGTAGTGTGTGTTTTGTAGTGTGTGTTTGATGTATTTTCTTCCGAAGCTTTGAATTAATTTCTCTAACTGGTGGAGGGTTTGGTTCAGACGAGTGGGTTTGAGTTTTGTCTTCTCATTAAAAAATAAAAATCGCACTGGTGATTTTCTGAAGACACTGAAACTAGAAGTTCCCCTCCTCCATCTCATGATGACACAGATTAATTATATTACCCAACAGGGCCTCTCGACTACATAAAGACAGGTGGTGGTAGGTGGGGTTTATCTTCAGTCTCCAGCTGTACTTTGTCTGCTGTAATAGATCCTCCTCAGAGGAGAGCCAGCTGATCATGGAGGCTGGATGGAACAGGAGGGGAAGTTACTTTAACTTTGTAAGGAAGGAGCATCTGAAGCTGGATGATTTGAGAAAGAGAAAGGGCTCAGGAAACAATTACCTCTTTAAAAATGAAATAATCCTAGAATACCCACGACCAGAGATCCATGTGAGCCATCTGAAGCACGACACAGACAGAGACGGTTTGGAAGGCATCACGAAGTCCGGAGGCTTCAAAGGAAAACAAGGCCTGGTGTGGTGGGGTCTGGTTGTGGGGGGGGAGGAACTCAGATCAGCTGAGCAGCGCCTCCTCCAGGAAACATACCCGGACCGAACAGAGCAGCAGGTCCAGGTTCAGCAGAGCTTCCTGAGGAAGTTTGCCTCCTCACCGGCCTTCAAGAAGAGCTCCAGGCTGGGATCGTACCGCTTCACCTTCCCCCTTCAGGAGCTGCTGGAGGCCTACAGTCTGCAGGTACTGAGGTGTAGGACTCATAATGCTGACTCATGTCAGGGTTTAGGACTCACAATGCTGACTCATGTCAGGGTTTAGGACTCACAATGCTGACTCATGTCAGGGTTTAGGACTCATAATGCTGGCTCATGTCAGGGTTTAGGACTCATAATGCTGACTCATGTCAGGGTTTAGGACTCACAATGCTGACTCATGTCAGGGTTTAGGACTCACAATGCTGACTCATGTCAGGGTTTAGGACTCATAATGCTGACTCACATCAGGGTTTAGGACTCATAATGCTGACTCATGTCAGGGTTCAGGACTCATAATGCTAACTCATGTCAGGGTTTAGGACTCATAATGCTGACTCATGTCAGGGTTCAGGACTCATAATGCTGACTCATGTCAGGGTTTAGGACTCATAATGCTGACTCATGTCAGGGTTCAGGACTCATAATGCTGACTCATGTCAGGGTTTAGGACTCATAATGCTGACTCATGTCAGGGTTCAGGACTCATAATGCTGACTCATGTCAGGGTTTAGGACTCATAATGCTGACTCATGTCAGGGTTTAGGACTCATAATGCTGACTCATGTCAGGGTTCAGGACTCATAATGCTGACTCATGTCAGGGTTCAGGACTCATAATGCTGACTCATGTCAGGGTTTAGGACTCATAATGCTGACTCATGTCAGGGTTCAGGACTCATAATGCTGACTCACGTCAGGATCCACCTATCGAAGGGGCCGGTACTCAACAACATGCAGTTACAGCATTTCCATAAGTGACTCTTTGGCGTACCGTGACTTTAATTTGCATACTGGCACTCCTCACAGGCTGCCAGTACTTTTACTCTCGAATCATTTTCAGATGTCAGTTTTAGGACTCATAATGCTGACTCATGTCAGGGTTTAGGACTCATAATGCCATTCCATTAATATAAGTTTATCATTTTGTTGAATGATTTTTCCATGTGATTCTGTGATTCTGTGATTCTGTGTAAAAGCTCTTCTTCTCTCTCCAGTTTTGCGGCGGTGAGCAGCCCCTCATGCGGGTGTATGAGACCCACCTGTACAAACAGGAAGTGATGTACGCAGTGCTGGTCCACAGTCCGGCCAATCAGGAGCAGTTCTCAGAATATCCTCTTCTGAGCGACGACCCAAACGCTGTCTGCTGCTACAGAGATGGCCGCTTCATCTGGAGGCCTGAGGCCATGTGTGCAACTCACAGGTGAGAAAACAACAATGACAGGTAACCTGGGAGGTTCAGACAGGAAATGCGTTATGGATTGACTTCCTGTCTCTCTGTCAGATACGAGTTGTTCTGGAACAATAAGACTCTGCAGATGGAGGCTCGGCCCTGGCACACTTATGAGTTCTACGTCTGGGATAATGTGTGCATCGTCCTGCATGTGGAGAAGGGCAAGGTGATCACTTCCTCTTTGTCTTCTTGTCCACAGCTCAGCGTCAGACTTTTCTCTACATTTCATATATTTATATATTTCCAGGATAACTTTGTAGGACTGATCAGAGTGGATCTGGTCCGTCTTCTTCAAGAACTCGTTCCAGAGTTTAATATCAGTTCCTTTTCTCAGAAGCACCACGGCCATGTTATTAAGGAAATACAAAATATCCCCAAAAAGTGAAACATGTCGAGAAGAAAATGTGTAAAAGGAAAGAAAAAATCCCCCAAAATATCTTATAACGAAAGAATACTTGAAAAACCTTGAAAAACCTCTGAAAAACAATTTTTAAAGATAAATAACAGTCAGAAAAATGTGAATAACATTTTTAAACTAAATGGAAAAAATTCCACATAAATGTATATATAGAAATATAGAAATGTGGAAAAACTATATATATATATATATATATATATATATATATGTGACAATGTAAAGGGCTTTCAATCGATTAAATATGTAATTGAAATGTATTCATTGGGATTTCCGTAGTTTCTAAATGTTTTAAAGGGAAATCTTTCAGGTTCAGAAAAAGTGCACGCGTTAAAAAAATGAAAGTTGTGTTATTAACACATTAACTTTTATCGTCCTAATATTTATTCATAAATAATATGATTTAAAAAGGATTGTTAAGTGACGTGTTCCCAGAGGCTCATGGGAGTTGTAGTTCATGATGGGGTCCATGTTGCTGAATCTGAGCTCTTCCTGTTTCAGCTGCTGGAGTTCGGTCCGGACCGACTGAGAGAGGAACTGAAGTTCTGCGAAGGAGAAAAACTTCCCCACGCTCCGGACGAGTTTGATGACTTCCCGTCTGCCGAGGCGACTGTTCGGAGTCTCTGGCCTGAAGACCCCTCCCCACTGGAGAGAGATGAAGAGCAGGACATTAATGAAGCAGAATAGATGAATCAGAGTTTAGATAAGCACATCCTGCCTTCACTGAACTAACATTACATTCAGAGTTGGAGCTAAATATTGGTTTATCTTATTTTATAAGTAAACATTTATTTTCTGGCCGTTTTAGTTTTAGTGAATGAATCATTATTTATCGTAACAATTTTAGTTGCAGTAGTTCTGCTTTTATTTTGAAGGAGGTGTGGGCTCCTGGTTGTTAAGGAATAATTCTTCTAGATATCTAACCTTTTGCTCTGTGACGTTTTATGATCTACTCTGACGTCTGTTATCTCCTTTAAGGAAAGGCCTTGGTGCCATATGGGTTGTTGTCACCAGTTTGTGACCGGTCAACTTGTCTGGCACGAATGGTAATTGTTGTGAGAACACTGAGGCACTTCTTTATCGGTGTTTGTGGACTCTAATGGCGCATTTCCATTGCAGCGCGTAGCTCGCTTTAAGCGTGCCGTGTCGTGCCGTCCCCTTTTTTGGTTGTGCTTCCACTAGGCCTCGTTCCGGCGCGGCACGGCGCGGGGCCACTTTTTCCCCTCTTTTCTGGCCCTAGAAAATTGTGGTTCTATCGGGGCCAACAAACAGGGCTGAGTCGGGCTGAGTATGCTAAACTAGAGAGAGGAGCGCTGGCAAGAGGGCTAGAACTACAACAAGATGGACATATTTGACCGTGATTTAATTGTAATACACGTTTCAAAATGATGCCGAAGTAACAACATACTGATACCGGTTAGTAAAAACCATGAATTAATGCTTTGTCAAGTCTGCAGACAGACGGCAGGCGAAAAACCTTTTAAAATTCGTGTTTTTCTAGATGGAGATGGGCTAAGCTAACGCAGTATATGCCCCGACCGTCCACACTCACAACAACGGCCTATACAGACATAAATAAAGCAGCGACTGTATTCACCATGACACAGGCAGTCTGTGGTTTGTACTTGTTTAACTTTTGTCGAGTTTCTGAACATATATAAGGAGCTGTGAGCTCTGAGTGCTCACAGCTAACGGCTGTGTTGTGTTTCTGGATTTCTCATTGAAGATGACGTCACGGCTCCGCCTACACTGCGTTACTATAGTAACTACCCCAGTTCCTAAACTGTAATGGAAGCGCAGCATGAAGTGAGTCGGCCCTGTTAAGGCCCAACGCGGCCAAGCCGTACCGAGCCGTACCGAGTGTGGCCGAGGCCGACCGTGTAGTGGAAATGCGCCATTAGGTGTGAAATCTTTGAGGCCATGAGTGTCGGACGCAGGTGGTTCAGTGTTCCCAGCTGTTTAGTCTACTCCTTCAGAGATGTTGATTACTCTCTGTGAACCAGTTAAAAGGTCTAGCATAGAGAGAGGCTCTTCAGAATTGACGTGGCAACTCTACCGTGAGAATCAGAACCTCTGACTCTTTGATTTGTGATGTGAATCCTCCGGCCGATACTCTGAATAAACCCATCAGTGTTTGACATCAAAAGCTCCAACTCTCACCGTGTCTCCTTCCTGAGTCGGCGACTCCCACTGCATTGCTACACAGAAGTTTCCCCCACACTGGTGATTAGTATATCTTGATCACAGTTGGGGGGGGGGGGTACGCACCAGTTTGAGCATATGGTTTTCTACAAGGAGCGACAGCCAGAGGGGGAGAAAGGTGAAAATCATTGATCTCTGTATTTTATTGGAAAACTACAATAAACGGATGAAAGGATTTTCTGCCTGGACATTGGACTTTATTCCCTGCATGAGATTTGCTTTCTGGGCCCAGCGGCAGTTTGAGTTTAAGTTACGCTTATTATCATAATTCTGAGAAAAAAGTCATATTTAAAATAAAAAGTCAACTCGGCTAACAGCTGTAAACTCTGTAACAGATTTAGAAAATGTTTTCCCAATAAAGTTTCATCCGTAATAATATTTATTAATTTGTTTATAATATTAGTTTTATGAATCTAATCCTGGAGAGTCGTTAAAGCTTCACGTACTGCTCTACGAGTAAATCTAATACAGAATATATCATTTTATAGTCAAATAGTAAACGTCCCCTTCACCTCAGTTTGTTGACTTAATGTTTGTATTTGTTTACTCTCTGACGCAGATACAGATTTTGTTGATGATTTGAATATGTTGTTACCTGGCAACAACCGGTCCATGTGACGTTAGCTGATTAGGTGTTCCCTGACCTGATCTTACTCATAATGATGACGTTGAGCTGCCTTTAGGGAGTGTTTCTCCCGGCCCATTGATAATACCTGACTAAGTATTCCCTGATCTTACTAACAATGATGCTGTGAAGGCTCCTGGTCGCTCGGGCTGCTGGGGCCTGTGTGAGGGAGTGATTCTCCCGGCCCCCCAATGATGCTGATGATTGCATGGAGTGAACTGTGTTCTGAGGCCTTCTAGTTAAGAGGAAGAAGATGGGCCGTTATTGAAATTCAGTTTTCCACTCTGCTATACACATGCATCGCAACCGAGTGTGAAGCGGCTGGGATGAGGATCAGCACCTCCAAATCTGAGGCCATGGTTCTGGAAACCGATGGACTGTCCACTCCAAGTAGGGAATGAGTCCTTACCCCAAGTGAAGGAGCTCAAGTATCTCGGGGTCTTGTTCTCGAGTGAGGGAACAATGGAGCGTGAGATGGGCCGGAGAATCGGAGCAGCGGGAGCGGTACTGCAGTCGCTTTACCACACCGTGTGACGAAAAGAGAGCTGAGCCAGAAGGCAAAGCTCTCTGTCTACCGGGCCATCTTCGTTCCTACCCTCACCTATGGTCATGAAGGATGGGTCATGACCCAAAGAACGAGATTGCGGATACAAGCGGCCGAGATGGGTTTTCTCCGCAGGGTGGCTGGCGTCTCCCTTAGGGATAAGGTGAGAGGTTCAGTCATCCGGGAGGGACTCGGAGTTGAACCGCTCCTCCTTCGCGTCGAAAGGAGCCAGTTGAGGTGGTTCGGGCACCTAGTAAGGATGCCACCTGGGCGCCTCTCTAGGGAGGTGTTCCAGGCACGTCCAGCTGGGAGGAGACCGAGGGGTAGACCTAGGACCAGGTGGAGGGATTATATCTCTTCGCTGGCCTGGGAGCGCCTTGGGGTCCCCCAGTCAGAGCTGGTTGATGGGAGAGGAACGTTTGGGGCTCTCTGCTGGAACTGCTACCTCCACGACCCGACCACGGATAAGCGGGAGAAGATGGATGGAAATACACATGCATCGACGGGGGGGGGGACACTGTGGCGTGCTCAATTGCGCCTCATTTGCGCATAAACTGAAGTGCGCCACAGTTGTGCTTCAGATGAGGCCCCTGGCAGTCTGCGTGATCTGCGTGTAGAGAGGGGCGGGCCTGCTTAAGGGCACCTCGGCAGTGGCCCAGGAGGGGAACTGGGTCCTCTCCAGTACCAATCCACACTCCTAGTTGAGCTTGAGTTAAGAGATTCAAAGTGAGAGAAGCATTGCATGAGATGAAGTATTCCTCTGGAGAAGAGGATACAATATTTACACTGCCGCCGGTTAGATACACGACTTACCAGGAATAGGTTAAGGCATCTTTGATTAGCCAGCAGTGTGAGACTGAGAGATGCCTTGGACTGATAACATAATGCTTGATCACATGACCATAAGCCATAGCCTTGATACGTCATTGTTTACGTCTAGGATCCTTTATTTTTATTTGTTGGTTTTGAGTTTGCCGTGGATGCCCTGCGAAAGTTGGAGACGTATGAGGAGGATGACGATCCCGCCCGGGTGCGATATCTCGGTTAGAGACTTGATAGCACTGAAAGCAGCACATAATGTAAAACGAACTATTGATTAATGCCAGGTGAAGTGCCATCTATGAAGTACAAAATGTGAGCATGTAATCAGAAGTCATTGAAGTGTGTGATAGATGCCAGCTTGAAAAAGTAGTACATTGCGGGTTTGAAAGCCGACATGTGAGAGCCGTGATGAACTTATGCAGAAGATAAGCATAACGTTATAAAACCAAGTACTTACCGGACAGACATTAGATGAACCGTTATGAGAAAGAGAGGTGCTGATTTATGAATATTGTAATACAATGAAGGTATTTTGCAGATGATTAAAACGTACACTGAGTGAGTGACTAATTGCTGTGGGATAGACTTACACTGTTAAGACTATATTTAGCATTGAATTGTTAATATTATATCTATTCCTTGATATGCTTTGACGTAATAGTGTGCACTGAGACGTTAGCTGAGGTCTACTACTGGAGTATCAGATCGAGGGGATCGTATGATGATAGAGCAAGAGCATGGTATGCTGGACACTACCACCAGTTATATGCATGAAAGTATGTAGGACAATCCGTGCATACTGTCTTTCTATTTATTTAATTTATTTATTATTATTATTAGATAACCCAAGAGAGAGGAGGGGTGAGTGAGCCATGAGGGGTAGTAATAGGCCTCGACTCCTCCATCAGCTGATGGAGGAGGCCTCGACTCTGTTCTGATGCCGGATCGGCTCGTTTCACTTACGCCGAGACGGCCGGATTGTACCCGTGTTTCTGCCGATGGAGGTCTTCTCCTCTCGCTCTTGAGAGGTTGCTGAGGCTTAGAGATGAGTATCTTTACCCGATGCCGAACTGGCTGCACATGGACGTTGTTGAGCATCAGAGCATTATGGAGACCCGGTTTAACCACGCACTGTTTCTTTAATGATGGCTGTGAGGGCAGGACGAGACTGATATCTGCTACGAGGATCTGGAAACAGGTACGACTGAAATCACAGCTGACTGCAGGAGAGAGGAGAACCATTTTAAAGTTTGGCTGCAGAACGGTGATTGGCTGCTGGAGAATGAGGTGAAATGTAATAGGTTAAAGAGAACGCCCGTGATGAGCTGATTATAAGCAGCTGCGGAGTGATGAATATATAACGGAAGTTACGTATTGTAACTCCAGCTTCTATGAGTATAGGCGTAGCCCTCTAAGGCTATCGCTATTGGGTAATCCCCTGCGCACCCGCGCAGCACTGAAACACTTGTCTTCCACGCCCGCCCGCGAGGTGGGCCCCACCTACGGACTCACTTCCGTATAAATAGGAAGGAGGCCCGACAATCTGCTCCCACACAAACAGATTTTCTTCAGCTATTCGTGGAGCCAGTGGGGCCCAGCACTTAGAGGGCTACGCCTATACTCATAGAAGCTGGGTTACATAGTACGTAACGGGTGCATAAGGGATAACCCAATAGCGATAAACTTAGAGGGCGAAGCCTTTACGAAATAGAACCAGTCTTCCTGAAAGAACTTGCGCTG